CTTTTCCGAGGGCTACTGGTTCATCGAGAGATAAGATTGTGGGAAAGGCATAATGTTCAGATTTTGTATGTAGGACTTAAAATATCTTTCTCAAACAGCCATCTCCCTTATTCCATTTACTCTCATACGGAAAGTCTGACGAACTTGTCATTTTTTCAAATCTTGAATTCAGCTATGGACAAAGTGGACGAAATGAATCCAGCTTGGTTTTTTAAATCCCTATTTTTGTGTTGCAATATTTCCGAAAAAAGAAACACAAGGTAAAAAGATTCTTGATTGTTTTTAAAGAAGTTTGAAAGCCTTGCTTCCCACCTCATCATAATGAGTTTACATATCAAAGCAAGCACTGTCACCCTTATTACCAAACAAGAACTTTAACCCGTGAACTCCCAGAAGTGATTTGCATGAAACTTCTCCCTACAATGTCCATACACTATCTAACGACAAATTATGAGATTGGAGGTTATTATCATGATATAACATTGAATTCTTGTAACTAAATTACAATGAAATGTGTAACAGCTAGATGGGAGATTTACGTTTATCGAGGGGTGATTTGAGTGCGCAATTGATGTAACCGCCACGACAAATAAATTTTCAGGTATCTGGTGGAAATGAAAGCGACGAAATTGCAAAAACGATGTAACGAGCTGCGAAAGGAGAATGGATCTGTTTCTTAATTTTCTCCCCTAACCCTTTCGCTTTTCATTCCTATGGCGGCTCTGCAGCTTCAAACCCGTTCAAACAGCCAGCAGCATATGGAAGGGAAGTGGGAGGGAAATTCATCAAGAAAATCGATATATCCTTGACAACTGCCTTTCAGCTTGGTATGTAATTTTCATTTACAATATTACACATTTTCCTCCTTTTCATAGAATCCAAACCATTACAATACGCCGGGGAGCTATAATCACGTCGTTACTTGGTAAAAGGAAGTTGAAGGAAGAACTAAAGGTAAGAAAATTTATGATCCAGAATACTGACAAAGGTATTAAGGACAGCTACTTGTTACTATAACTACAAAAAAATGGCAAGGTCTGTCAAAACGGACGGATCTTTATTTACAGATGAACTTGAGGCGCATGGCCTTTTTTTGTTTAATTATATGGAAAAAGCTCATTGGTTTGCATTAGTCCCAAGGGGATAGTGCAAATAGTAAAATCAAGCGTAAAACGTCGTACGATCCAACATGACGGTGCGCACTGTTTGGATCTCTTCACGCTTCAAGTCCCTCTTTCTTATCTATGCCAACCAATGTTTAAGATCATTTTTGTTCATTCAGAGCCACTCCACTCCACAAATAGAAGTTTCCCAAAATGTTATCCTCTGATTTAGACTATTCAAGTCCCCCACTAGTTATTGTCAATAGGTGAAGAGAGACAAGACAGAAGCAAGACCCGACAGATATCACAGTCGACGATGAACGAAACACTATTTGTACTAATGTTATGAAGAGTAAAAGATGCATATGTCGCTTGGTTGTTCTAAAATGTAGCCAAACTTTATTGAAATAAAGGCATCCCTGAAAATCTGTGGTTACGTTTTTCATTGTAATATTTCTAGTAAGCAGAGCAAACAATGAATGTGAGCTATTAAATTAAGAGGATCCAAATATATGTTTAATGGTTGTTTTAAGGATTAAAAAAGGATAATTTTTCGATAAACGTGGAGTAAATTATCAAAAAGTAAAAATTGACACAAAATTAGTATGTTATAGAAAGGAAAGAGAAAAGTTAAATCTTGACAAAAACCTGCTGGGCTTCTACTTACGCCGACGACCTCCACACAATGAAAACCAAACAAGTCAGAAAAGTAGATTCTAACAAATTAAAAGTCAACCAAACCCTGAAGGGTGTCTACTTAAGCCGACAACATCTACACAATGAAAACCAAACAGAAGTCAGAACAGTTGATTCTAACATATTAAAAGTCAACCAAACCCTGCAGGGTATCTACTCAAGCCGACAACATTCACACAATGAAAACCAAACAGAAGTCAGAACAGTAGATTCTAACAAATTAAAAGTCAACCAAATCCTGCAGCGTACCTACTTAAGCCGACAACATTCACACAATGAAAACCAAACAGAAGTCAGATAAGTATTTTCTAACAATTCTAAAGTCAACCAAAACCTGCAGGGTATCTACTTAGCCCAACAACATCCGTACAATGAAAACCAAACAGAAGTCAGAACAGTAGATTCTATCATATTAAAAGTAAAAAAAAAACCTGCAGGGTATCTATTCAAGCCGACAACATCTACACAATGAAAACCAAACAGAAGTCAGAACAGTAGATTCCAATAAATTAAAAGTCAACCAAACCCTGCAGGGCTTCTACTCAAGCCGACAACATCCACACAATGAAAACCAGACAGAAGTCAGAACAATAGATTCCAAAAAATTAAAAATCAGCCAATCAAGGTTGTTGAAAAACAATGAAATCTCGACCTACTCGTTGAACGCGAACACAGTTTTGTCACAACGTCGTTGGATGTGTCAAGGTCAAATCGCTAGTTTCTCAATACTTCAGCATGTTTTAGGGTGCAGGGGTACCAACGAGGGGAACTACAGATCTCATTCAGTTTGTATTGAGCAGCTTACTGACAAGGAAATGAATGAAAACAAAGTTGTGGAACCCACTCATAGATCTATATCAGTCAGAGTCCTGCTGGCTTCGCATCGTCGTATATAAAAAACGCAACCCCCTCTCGAAAATTCTGTCCGTGTGGCCTTGTTTCAATGCATACCCAAAACTTCTTAAGTTGCACAGTCAGCTATCATAGTTTTATTTACTGAGTTAAAAGGCCTTTTCTAACAAAATTATATTAGAGTTAGCAAATGAATGATATCAGTTAAAAACGTATAGAATTTTCTCACAAAGGGAACCTTCAATATCTCTGTTTCATCATCGATGGTTAAATTAGTTTGTCCCTCCTCAACAAATGACTGAACAGAATCAGAGAAATTTAATTTAAAGATCCTCGCACATAAATAACTTTATTTCAGAGACCTTCTCTATCCAGTCTTAACTTATCTTGCACTAACAGTTTTTAAAACTGATTCAAGACAGCATACGTTTCACAGAAAAAACTTCGACTGTCTCTTTCGCATTTGGGTTAGAGGCATCATGTTCCGCCGTGCGATTTCTTTCAATTATTTTGCGTTATTCATTCTTCTTGCAGTTTTTCAAGTCACATCGACGCAGAGGTTGCAGGTACGACTTTTCATTGTTTCGCGAGCGCCAAAATCATCTTGATTCAACTTATTTGAGTTCCGTAAAAGGACCGTGTGATCTAAGCTTTGAATGCAGATTCTGATCTAAATATCTTATTTTATTTTCTTCTTTAATTTTTTTTTATTGACAAGACGGGAGATACAGTGGAAACCGAACAGGCCACGACTGACAGGTAAGTAGGAGCAGAAGCCTTCTGAACGTGATCAGATTTGTATATCAATTAAATAATGTTTGGTTACTGCAAACCAAAACCTTAAAGATGTTAACGTTGGGTAGGACAAGTGGCATATGAAGGCTACAACCTCCTTTCAGTAAGCAGTGAAAACCAGCTAATGTTTCCAGAAGACATACCATTTTTAGACGCCCGAAGGATCTTTCAGCCACTGGTTGTTATGGGAAGTTTCCTTTCGTTGAAAATTTTTATGCCTTCAAAGGAGAAAAGTTAGGATTTTTCTCTTATTCCTGTGACACATAAAAGAAAAAATTGCCACTTGAAAGAGAATTCAAATCATCAGCTGGGTTCTATGCGAAATAGAGCAGAGGAGGTAAAATTAATCAATAAAGGAAACCTTGATGGGTAAAGATTGAGGGACCGGATTACAGGTAAAACTCATACTTCCGGAATCACTGCACATTCACAACATAAAGAGTTTCTGTAAAAGCCCAAAGTGTGGCGTCGATTGTAAACAGGCCCTAAAATCAGTGTTCATCATGTATTGTGAACTTGTGATCGCCTTTCATTACGTAATGTTATGCAGCGGCAGTATAAATATGTAATTAGTTGTCTATGTTTTTTGGGTTAGGTTAAGTTAAGTAAGTTAGCAGTTGTGTATCTAGCAATTAAAGCTCCTTCACGTTCTTTAAAAACGTTGTTCTCTGCTCAAACACAACACAAAGTAACCTGACAGGTCACACAACACAGTCTGACTGAGATCAGGAAACCAGAATTAAGTACCACGACCAATCACAAGGAGCCAGTTAGAACACAGAATCAAAACAAGGAAACGCTTTGAAGCGTGGAAAAACTCGAGTGATCAAGTCGCATTTGGTTTAAGTTTTACACCTGATAGAGTAGTAGTAGGCGCAAGTTTTCTGGACCAATCACAGATCATATATCGAAATGAAGCAGTAAACGAATCAAGAAATACTTGATAGCATTCGAAATTCAGCGATAAATGCTCTATATTTCTAACTATTCAAATAGTTAAAACTCAAATAGAAATGTCTTTCTTGAGTATCATCAAACCTTTGTTCTACTCAACTACCCATTTCAGGGATGCAACATCTTCTAAGTCTGATCAAACCGTCAATACAGCGGTAAGCAATTAATTGTTTTTCGGTATTTGTCACTGCTCCTGTCAACCAGCCATTAAAGCGCAGGAAATAAGTTGTTTTATCATATCTGCTTCATAATATTTGCTATGACCCAGCGTTTTTTGGATTCTTCGATTTTCCTCCAATCAAAGAACTAATAGAAAGCCCCCACTCCCTTCCCCCTCGAGGATTCAAACGTCAGGTTCTGAGAGTTAACGATGAGTTGCTCTAGGAGCTAAATTTCAAAGAGGTCTTACGTGAGCTACGTTGGGCTAAGCCGTAAACTAAATTCATGTGTGACAAGTGTTTGGCATACTGTTGGGATCAATATTAGTTGAAAGGCTCTGTGACGAAAAAAGGACGAACTCTCCCCAACACCAGTGTGCATTTTCTCCACTTTGCGCCCCTAGGGTACTGACGATGAGAATTTGATCAACAATCAGGAACTCCTTTCGTTGGTGATCATTTCTTGTATTCTCATAACTTAATGTGCTATTGAGGGGTGATACTGTTAGGAGATATTAGTTGCTGGTCATTCTTGAGGGTCAAAGGACTAAGAAAGATACTAAGATCTCATGATTTAAGTTCTCGTCATCTGTCTCGATATTTTCTCCAATTCTTCTTCATTTTCAAAAAACGATCAGTAAGAAGTTTATTTCCATTTCTCTTGATTTGTATCAACAGCAAATACGAGTTGGTGATTATCACACCCTTTACGGCTAGGTATGTACCATAATCACAAAATAATCGAGTGTATCTTTATGTGTGAACAGTTTTTTTTTTTTACACAGAATGATACTGATACCTTCAGGTTTGTTTTTTTTTTTTTATGCTAGAGAACATTCCCAGTCAGAATATATTAAAGATTCACCTTTTTTAGAAGAAGTACCATCGTTATTACTTTAAATTAATTTGCAGCCAAGCAGCCAGCTATGTCTATCCTGGCGTGCTGTGGCACGGCACTTCCGATGTTGTATTTTTGATCATCGGCATCCATTCTTCTGTAATTTCTATGGTACTGTTCTAAGTCTTCTACAGATCGCCTGAATGGGTCTCGCAGTATAAATTTGAAACGCGACGAAATTAATGCATTGTGACACAAACGATTGTATCTCATATAGAAAATGTATAAACCCACAATGACAATTCGTAACCCCGTTTTTGCCGAAACATGTAAGAAACTTTAATTTGTCAAACTGTTTGTCATCACCAGCAAATATTCCGGACGAGATATAATGCAGTCGCATTGCATCTTGTTCAGATAGTACGTCATTACCAGAAAATGTTCCAGTTTGACTGCATGACAGTAATAATTTTTGTAGATTTTGAGCATGAATGATTCAGTGGCTTAATGACCCCAACGTCTCAGCACGAAACTGTGCTTAAAACACATTCCGCACGAAAAGAGTTGAAGCAAAATTACCGGAATTCTCGCTAAAAATGAAATTTTAGTTAGGTTGAAACAGGAATTTTATCATCCTTGAATGCTCTGATCAAGCCTACTATCGTCATTAATTATTATCACTGTTAGTGGTTATAATGTCATCATTGTTATTATGGTTGTACTAAATACTGTAAATGTGAACTGCGGATAGCGAAAAGAATATGGAAGCGATCTTCGCAGTAATGAACACCAAACTTAAGCAGTAGTGACAAAAATAGGCCTGAAAAAATTCAGGCCTGTAGGGATTTGAACTAATGACCCGTGCGATACAGGTGCAGTGCTCTACCAACTGATCGCTTCCATATTCATTTCTTAATCTACAGTATATTTGGAACCAACGTAATGACCAGCTCCCAGTGGGCTTGTTATCTCAGCTGGTAGAGCGCGGCACCTTTGGACAGTGCACTGACCACTGGACTACTGAACAAAGCCGAGGCGTTGGCGTGCCCGCGGTACAGTTGACCACACATGTCAAAAGTAGCACCTTGTACAGTCGCACGGTCGTACATCCAAATTTTTTCGGCTTGATGGGTTACTATTTTGTATAATTATGGGGCTACGCTCTGCGAGCTCCGCTATTATATAGTCTTGTTATTATTTACTCATTTCACAGTTTTACTTAAACAAATTAATTTTAAAATGACATTATCATTTTGTTTTAGCGGCGCTCTAAGAAAAGCAAGATGGCGAAGGAGGCACAAGTTACTTCAATCGTCAACGAGAGACAAGCTTCAGAGGATAGATTTGAAGTTGCCAGTATACTCTGTTATTTCGACTGTACATGTAGTCTAGGGCAAAAATAAAGCATTAATGACAATTTAGTGGCAGAAGTTTCTCTTTTTATTATCGATATGCAGTTGTTTTTTTTTTCCTCAAACACAAACGTACAACATCATTAGCATCTGATGACTGAGAGGTACAAGTTCACTGTTTTGGGGGGCAAATAACACCTTCAGCCGAGCATTCCTCACCCGCTTTTTTAAGGACTGAAGAGGGAGAAGGTGAAAAAAAAAAAAAAAAAAACCGAGCTGGGAGCTTATGGGTACCAGCGTTGGTACAATGACAGTCCATGATTACCAACTGTTAAACGACAGGGGCAGAAATGACGATTTCATGGCCCCCTACAGATCTACCTTAGAGAATCCTTGCTCACGATAGCTTGTAGCTACAACCGTCAATTATCAGTCATATAACATAATCAAATAAATACAATTTTCATCACCAAGGGTAGAAAATTCAATCAGGAAAAAATTGTATAAAAGATAAAGAAAAGACAGATATCCCACAGCCTAAACTGCAATCAGGTAAAACTATAAGTAATTACAAATCCACCCGAGTATGTGCTTAAAAAGCAATCATTTTTTCCAGTTTTATTACTGCAGTCAGCATGCCAATTACTCAATCCCTAACAATGCATTCATTGTCAACATCTGGTTCTCACAAGAAAGCTGTTTTTTTTTTTTTTTTAACTAAAAAATTCTGATATAGGCTGAGAGCCGTAGGTTTGTCTGAATTTGGTTCCGAACGACTTCGATATCGGTTAAATCGAGTCAAAGGCCACCATGTTTCGCAGAAATGCTTGGGTCACCTGCGTCACTATAATTCTCCTTTTTCATCCGATATTACCATCTACATTGCAGGTCTGGTACTTACATCTTTTCTTACTGATCTCTTATTTTTTACCGTCTGAAAGAACAACATGTATTCCTTACGGTAATAATATTTTTAACACAATTCGCCATTCATAGAGAGAGAAAACATAAAATTGCATCACGAAATTAGTAATTTTACAATACTTGTTAAAAACAATATTTTAATAAATGGCAAGGGTTCTCCAGAAACCACGGAGCTTATACGATCTGAAGTCAAAATCTGAAGCAGTTTTTTTTCCAGTACCAAGGAGCTATCTATCTCGAAGAATGTTGAAGTTGTTCGGTTTATCACCACCTGAACTCAGTGTAAAAGTCCGTGACGCAAAGTTCTGAAATGTAAACTTGTTTACTTTTATTTTGTTATCTCGACAAAAAAAGTTAAAACTTGCCTTCCAAGTTACTTTCCTTCCTGAATTTTCATGGCTAGATATTCTTGACTCCCTACTTTTTTTTAAAGAAAGTGAGGGAGGAGGGGGAGGGGGGCGCTTATTTGACATTATAGCCCGAGGGGTGGGCGCTTGTTCCATGAAGGGCGCTTACTAGAGCGTGGGCGCTTATTCGATCAAATACGTGGCATGTAATCGTCAGCCGGAACGCCCAGGAAAAGAATTATGAGATCACCCTCTATCCACTCAACATTTGCTGCATATCATAAAAACGTGCATTACAATATTATCAATAAGAATAATAGTGAATTATCTAATTATCGCAAATGAGATACATATTTGCTAAATACCATGAAAACGAGCCATGCAAACTTATCAATACAAGAGATCATGACTAATCATTACAAATGAGATATTTGTACCTCATTGTCACACGAAACACACGCCAGGGACCCCATTGGATCCCAAGCAGGCAGCACTATTGGTTCCTGTTGCAGGACACCCAACACATCATCCGGAACATATTTCTTGTCTATAACAACCTCATAGACATATTCTGAGTACCAGCTGTCCGTCATCATAAGGTAGCCTGGCTTGTCTTTCTCATCACCCCAGGAATTCTCCACACGCCATTTCATGGTTTTAATGTCCACTGCAGCACCTTCCTCTACTGGTTTTGAATGATCTTCATTGTCTGTAGTTTTGGTGTTTTCCTGAAAATCCAAGGAAAGAACAAATTGTAAAAGGCGATTATATTCCTCCAAGACTTCTTGTAGTTCATTTTTCAGATTTTTCAGTCTTAATTGAGAGCAAGTGTTTTCCCACGCAAACTCTTTACCCTATTTCTCTATCCTTATCATTTCCTCCTTACAATGTCTCTTCTACCTCTTCTCTTGAAAGTACGCCATGCTGCTTTAAAGAAATAAAATTTACCGTGGTCACTTTTGTGAGCTATCCTTTTCTCCACACATTTCAACACTTTGTCGACGTGAGGCAAAGAAAGGATTAAAAGTCCAAGAACAGTTTTGTACATAGAGTTCACTGCATCCTTGTTTTGCTCCTCACCGTTGCATGGTTCAGATGTTTAGGAAGTTAAACGGAGTGCTATAGTAGCGACGGAGAAAAAAAGACGAACGTGATTCGTATCAGGTCGAGTGACGAACGTCACATGATCCGACCCAGCCCCACCGTGTTTTTTTCGCTCCGCCGATACTGTCCCGTTGTTTGCTATCGCGCGGCCGTTTTTCTAACTGAAAGCCTGGAACAGACAATCCTCACCTCCCAGGAAAATCCAGTGAACACCATAGCATGGGTCATGAGCGATCCACCATACAGCAAACGCTGAGCTTTGTTTAAATACTTCATGGAAATGCCAAATGTCAACTCATAACTATGACTGCAGAGGAAAAAAACAGGAAATATAATATATTATGGTGTCAAGCTTCTAGAGACAGAGAAAGTGACAGAAACCGTGTAACAACGAATAGAAAAAAGAAATCAACTTATTGATAAACTTTCTTAATTTATTTATCTTTCTATGTATGAAACATGTCGTTTTACTCTCTACCGCCATAAAAACAAACTTTCTAAAAAAGAAAAGTCACTAATAACTTTGAATATATGGAAATCAATTAAGTGAACCGCAGATAAAGAAGTGAATGCGAAAGCGATATTCGCAGTAATGAACACTACTTGAGCAGTAATGGAAATAAGGCCTGAAAAAAATTCAGGCTTGTACGGGATTTGAACACATGACCTCTGCGATACCGGCGAAGTGCTCTACCAACTGAGCCAACAAGCCAACAATAAACCCATGAAGTGATAAATAAATAACTGAGATTATATGAAAATCATACATGTGAACTGCGGATAAAGAAGTGAATATGAAAGCAACGTTGTAAACTTACATGTCCAAATGAAGTGCTCCAATTTTTCTTTCAAAATGTTTGTCAACATCACATCCAAACCAAACTGCCTGAAGAAAAGACAAAGTACTAGTTAATTTCTTCAAAAAGGCAATGAGATTTACTGGAAACTTGTGTTTGCCAATGCTCTACAAACTATCTTAACTATACCTTTACGTGCACAGTGCTTAAGAGTTCCAAATAAAAAAGTACGAAACTGATAATTAAAAAAAAAAAATAGCTGGTTCCCAAACCAACAGAAAATTGACTTCCATCGACCAGAATACTTTAATAGCAGTCATGTTGTTCTTCATGTGTGACAACAGCTCACGAAAAAAAAACCTCTAATAGTCAATTGGTGACTGCTCACAACAACATTTTGCCTTGTAGTCCATTTTTTTCTTTTAATCAAACTTTTTTGCAACAAGGCTGTTCCCTCTGGCATACCTATTTATCCAAACATCTTCTCATGGTAAAGAATCAAACAGCATACTTAATACACTGTACATCAAGGAAATAACTACTTTTCTAAGTTTATTGACTGGCCCTGCGAGAGGGGAAACTGAAATAAATACTGAGTTCCGTCTGCCAACCAGAGTGAGTAAACTATCTCACAGCCCACTTTCTGATTGGTTGATGGCACACTCCTAACAAAATTATGCATTAGCCAACTAGTTCATTACAAGGGGAAAAAAAACAACAAAATTCAAAAAGGGCCTGTAAATACACCAACAGTGGTAACAAGAGGCAGCCCTTGACTTGTGCATTTAAGAGAACGAAACATATCATATCCCTTACCTCGTTGTCCTTAAGAGACGCAGCTGTCAACTTCTTGAGAACTTCCACAGGTTGATTATTGTATAAGACACGCCGTCCATTCACCATATTACTGAGGTACTCTACTGTCAGCAGTTTGTTGTAAGGATTTCGAGGGTCGTTCACTAGGCACACCTGTAATACATGTATGTAACAAAGATCAAATCACCAAGTGGTTAAAGCCTACAATATTGGTAAGATCTCTGGAGGGTCAGTGAGGGTTATCTTGAAGGAACTAAATTAGCACATTCCATTCATCATGACAAAATGTTGTACAATTTTTTCCAATTTGGTCATTTTCAATCTGTGAAATCCTTTCTCAACTGGTTCTCTTTTAACCCTTTGACTCTCACAAGTGACCAAGACAGAATTTCTCCTTACAATATCAATACAATGTCAACCAGATAAGTGATGAGAATAAAGAAAAATATCAATTTGGGGATAATTAGTTGATTCAATACTAAATTCTCTGAACTAACATTATAAGATTGTATGGTTGACAGTAAGGAGAATAACAAATTTGATATGAGGGTAAAAGGGTTAAGTTCATTTGCTAACATTAGGGCCAGTATATCTGGGGAAAAATCTTCAGTAGAAAGTAATCTTTCCATTTTTATAATCATAAAAGACATTGATTTATTGAAGAAGAAAACAAAATGGTGATAAATACTGATCTGTTATCAAAAGCTAAGAATCAATAATGAAGATCTGAATTATAACAATTAAATAAACAATAAGCTTAGGTTAACCAGTCTGTAACCTAGAAGCTCTATCACAGAACATGATTCATTTAAACTGGACTGTATAGCAATTAACCTCTTACACCTTAACATCAGCATGCATATTCTCCATACTGTTCTCTATACATTTCTGAAGGTGCCGACGAGGAGAATTTGTTTTACAATCTAAAGCATCTTTAGTTGGTGATCATTTTCTTCATTCTCTTGACCTTACTATGTGATTCAGGGGTGATCAATCGGAAGAGCTAAACATATCATTGTCCATATACAAGTGCATTGCATACCTTGTCAAGCGGGTTGTAAACTGGTTTGACATGCTCATTGTAAAATTGAAGCGGAGTTAATCCTGAAAGCTTGCAATATTTTTTACTTTTGTCAATATACTCCCACTCAAAAGTCTTGGGTGGAGTGCCAAGACATATGCTTGTTATCCTATATACCTAAGATTGTAAAAATGGAATAAGCAAAATAAGTAGAACTTTCCATTAGAATCTCTGTCCTTGTGGTACATCAATAATCACTGCATCTTTATTATCAACATCAACCTGGAGAGAATCTGATCAAAAGAAGCTCAAAGGTGTAAACTAGGACAAGACAGAAATGACTTATTTCACCTCTGTCATCATTTTCTTCTTAGCTTGTTTCATTTCCTCTTCATTGCATTTCTTGTCCACCAGTTCTTTAAGCTGCACAGCATATTCTCGCAGCTGCAAAGACAACATTAAGTCATGGGCAAGCTTGATACCAGGATGGTGGAAAGATAAGATTTTATCATCTACCAAGGCATGACAGTGAAGGAAACATTTTGTATACATTTCTTGTGGCTGTTTCATTATGTTTTCTTAGTTCATCATTTGGATTCTCACAAGAGATTATTTTCACAGAGTGAATGCTGAGTCCATCAGCTGATGTGGGAAGTCATGATTTAAAAATGATATAACTTGTGATTGTACGTATGATATTATTCCATGTGAATCAGGAAAAAACTTCAACATCATTGTCCTTTTATAACTAATGTGGTGCATGTCATGTGAAACATCCTCTTAGCACCCTCAATTTGACACTGTCTTCCATATGCATTGTGACTTTCAGTTATATGAAATTACTTAACTACTGCATGGAATGGGCCAATTATGTGCAACAACTCCCTCTTTCTTCTCAATTCCTAATGATTTCAATGCATCTCTAGCTGTTCTTACATGACTGTACAGATGTCAGTAGCTCAAGTGGGCAAGATCAGTCCATGGCAATGGACAAATTAAGTTTAAATATTCAATTCAAATGAAGGTGGGGAAAGAAAGACCTTTCAAGATGTTTCTGCATCTGGAACCCTTGCCAAATTTCCTCAACACCCCCTGGCTTGAATTCCTTTTTGTCTCTGCTATATCATTAATATGTTGAATTCATAGAAAAAGTGGGGGTCATGATTTCAAACTTTGAGATCATACCATAGTTTCGTGTTTTTTATAGCATACCTTGTGATTGATTATCCTCCTCAATCGCATGGACCTGTTAGATGTAAATGCTTCAGGCCAGACTGCCTTTGGCACCAGGCCATACTTTTCCACCAGGTTGATAAGCATGTCCCACTGACCACCGTCATTTAAAGGGTTGGACAAAAGAAACATCATCAATCGCCCATCAGGTTCTTCCCCTTTGCGAGCCAGTTCTTCATAAGTATTTATGAAAAAATATGACCTTTCAATTCTGTCCCAGAAGTAGAGAAACTGTTGACTAAACTCAAAGTCTTCCAGGTTAAAGTGTTGCACAAATTTTTGGCGAATTGCATTCAAAAATGCAAATATCCAGCATCGTCCAGATGCCCTTTGGTTTGTTACTGGTTTAACTTCATTGACCTGAAATATTAATAAAGTATGTATTTTATCCTTAACATCTAAAACACACTTACTCATTCACATTTCAATATATCCAACATAAAATCAAATCACACTGAACCTTTTAAAAGTCCCCTGAGTGACCAAAACAGAATTTATCCTTATAATACCAGTACAATATCAAGCAGAGAAGTGATGGGGATAAACAAAAATATAAAGAAGAGGATTATTAATTGATCTAATACAGAATTCTCCAAACTAACTCATTAAGAATTTTATGGAAGACAGTGAGGAGATAAACTAATGAGATTTTGGAAATGAAAGGGCTAAGAATTTTTATGATATAAGGCATAATGTTCCAATCTCAAAGAATGGCACCAGGAACAAAATATCTCACGAATATCTTTGTTGTTTGGAGAAAAACTCTCTTCAAAACTGGTACCTGCAACCAGTAATAAATAACTACTAATTCTGACAAAAATCCAAATTAGTGTTGAGTTTCAGTTATGAAATCTCTCCCCATCTTCATAAAAAAAAGAGTATGGGGAAAAATGCGATTTATCACAGTTGGTTGAGGGTCCTTCACAAACCTTAATGATGCAACTGACTGACTCAAATATACATCGAGTCCTAAAGAAATAATCGTGCAATGTATGCCAATCACCCAAACATCAAATCACATTCACTTCACTGGTGTTTTGATGCCTTATCTCAAATGACTCTAAAGGTACTAACAGGCATGAAAATGAGAAATTCCCGAGTGAAATTAATCCCTCAAGCAACACACATAATTACTGATAACGCAACGAACCTACGTTAGTCGTGGCCGGGAATTTCAACGAGTCAAAGTTTAAAACTAAAAAAATGGGCAATCAAAATACTTTTTAAATTGAAAAAAATAAAAAATTTTGCAGCACGACAGTGTAAACGTGCGATTGGTTCAAAGCCAGGCGCAATAATTAAGCTACAATACTCGTATCATCCGGAACATAAATAGGTACAAACTGTACCCGAGAGCGTTCGTCCGTTTCTCTTACCTTGTGTTTGAAGACATGATTGACTGTTTCGGCCACACTTCTGTCCAGACAAACTTCGACTGGATCATATTGAGTTCCAACGTTTTGAACTACAAGATTTTGTTTTTCGCTGAGAAAAGCGTTCTGTATTTCGGACAAAAGATCCGTTTCCACCCCACTGTTCGCCATGTTTAGATCTCAAGAAAAACTTATTTTGTCTCCAGCCTTTTCCAGTCCTCTGCAGCCGTGTCAAAAAGGCTCCAAAGAAGACTGGTAATGGATGGCTATGGATTCAGATGTGGTAAGTGTTCAAGTAACGTTCTTTGATAGACCATCGTTGATACCCTTTTTCAGTTGACGACGCTAATGCGTTTGTCCTAAGAGAATATTCAGTCTTGTTTCCTAACCCATGGCTCACTTTTCTTGAAAACATAAACACATTGCTTAAATATTTTTGCTGTTCGCGAATTTATGAGTTTTACTGCAAAGGGTGACTTCTCGGCTGTTGAATTAAAACTCGAAATAATTACATTGGAGATAACTGATAGACAGTCTTTCCCTTGAAACTTTTTTTTTATTGACAGAAATCTCTCTGACCCCATACGTATAAGATGATACAGACAGTCGTTTTAAAAAAAACTGCCAATGCATCTTTGCTTGCACGTTTTGAATACATTCCGCCGAAATTGTTCGCTTCCGATGCTTGGATCATGCCGTGCGCGCATATCTTCGCGACATATCTGACTTTCAGTGTTCTCGTGGGTACTATGATTTTTGACAGTTAGGACACATCGAGGTATAATGCCGAAGTAGCAACTTTTATTCGATACGACTTGTACACTGTCCAAATACGAATGACTAGCATCTGCATGATGTCTTCGTTAAATGTAAACACAAAATATGCTAATTACGCTTTACACAGTAGACAAAACACTGTTGCACAATACCATGCGTTATTGACCGAGCGTGAAGCAAAGATTTTCTTCGTTTTTATTAAAACACCCGAAGAGAACGAGTCTAATATCCAGTCATCTTGACCGAACAAGCTTGGTCTATAAAAGATTTATTATATTGAAAACATATTTCGCTTTAGTTAATAACAATCAAATATGAATTGTTTGTCGCTAGAGCCGGGAAAGAAATTTAAGCCAGCTGTTTTTGTTACAGAAGTAAAAAACGCGCCAAGTGCATTGTTGAGTTCTATAGGCACGTGGGAATTTTTAAGAACACGAGAGAAGTGCACTCGTGTGACGTAAGGCGCGTGCTTTATGTAAATATGACATACTCGTTCTGACCAATCAGGGCGCGCGCATTTCTCTGAACATTTTATAAAGCGCAATAAACCTACGAGAGTCCTTTTGTTTTGCTTACAAAATGCAGCGACATACTTGCGCGAGAGTGGGCGGCTGTGCTCAAAATAAGCATTTTTGAAGTTTATGTAATTGTGTACCTTGGTATGGGGAAGTCTAAACCATTTGTTACCGTTCTCGTTTAAATTTGTAACAACACTGCACTACCCTTCCAGACAAGAGACCAAAGTATAGCATCGAGTGAACGATCTAACACTACAATATATATGATACGCTATAGTATATGAATATGCTTAGAACAACGGGAAAATTTCAGCCAACTTTTACGGCAACACTGTTTTAACAACTTTTTCATGTACTAATCCGACTCAGATCAAGATTTAAGCCTCTAGCTGGCGTCTGTATTTGCAGCAAGATTTCTAAGCTTATGTATTTCGCGTCAATATTTGCGATATTCAGCACGATAAGGTTGTTCAAGGGAATAAGGCACATGAAGCCGCTTGCTATGCCTGCCACCGCTACTATCTAGAAGAAAGTAGTTAGGTCATTTGACAAAAAGATAGCAACCGAAGGAATGATGGCTCTGACAGCTATCATCGAAATAGCCCCGCTAACAAACAGAAATCCGACAACGAATTGTGTCACCCTTAAATTTTTTGGATTTGCAATCATCAACAATCCGATTACGCCCAAATTAACATCCAACAAAGAAAGCTTGAATGCTCCATAGCTTACACCAATGGCAACTCCAAAATTGAAAACGATCTTGTAACGAATTACGTGTATGGTTCCATTTCGAACAGCAGCGCCTGCAGTTCATAGGGGGAATCAAAGTAACGAGAAAGGTGGTGATGCGGTGAGAGGACCATACATGTTTAAATTCATGATGATATCTTGAGCTGCTAATGGTAGTTAAGCCCACGCAAAGGTTTGTAGCGAAGTGATGGAAAGGCTCATAAATTATACGTAACCCTCGTATTGAAAACGAGGTAGGTGGTCATTCCGACACTATATTGTTGCATTTTGTGCACATTTTTGTTGTATATTGTCATGAGAATACCATATACGCCGTGCAAAGAACTTTATTGGTAACGCACAGCAAGTTCCGTGCTGGAATCTGCATAATTGGCCCTCTTCGTGATGAAGGATGGTGGTAGTTCCCTTTTTGAAGTTGAACTTGTGCATTGTTCACAACAGTTGGCGGATTCCTGACCAGGATATCCTTCCCTATGTAACGCAATTGAAGTTGGCTTCTGAATGAAATCACGGATGTTGATCCTTAGCCCAGCGTAAAACGAGCGTTAGACATGAAAGAGGTAAATCTTCCCAGGATCGCCTAGCAGTTTCTCCTCGACATATGATAGTTTTGAATTAAATAGGTTGCCTCAATTTATTAAAATTTCTGAAAAATATTCGACAAGCCGGTCATTCCAGTCATTCAGTCATTTGAGAACCTTGATCGGCAGAGCGTACCAATTTTCGCGAAACAAAACAAAATTGACAGTTTTCAACAAAATGTAGCTTCATTCTAACCTTAAAGCACAACATCGTTAAAGCTTTCCAACATACAAAGCTTGTTTCATGCACAAAAGATCGTTTACTCACAATTTTGTCTTCTCAGCTTGAGGTTGTTTATAATCTTAATTAAAGATTCTATTTCGATTGTCTCCGATTTCTATATCATTTAAGTCTTTTGAGTGATGATTTATCCGTGAAAATAAAAATTTTGGCGAGAGAAGAAGGAATTTCTTCCATAAAATGAGTGACACTTTTCCGTCGGACTGGCTTTATCACTGAGCATTTGGAGCCATGGTAATTTGAATTTGCTTATTTGTGGAGCCGGATTTCTATTCTGACTAATAATTGACAGAACTCAAACGGCTATCATATTGCATGTCGTTCGCTTGTCAAGCTGACATTCCAGTTTTGCTTGAGGGCGATTCGGTTCACTACAAAGAATTCAAGCGTGTAGAAGAGCACTGATTTTCCTTTAATTACCTTGCATCGACGACATGCCTTCTACTTTGCGTCTTTATCTTGCAAACGTTTAACCTGAGGACAAGATTACTCGACACTTCTATCTAAGCCGACAGTAGTGCATCATTTTCTTCTGTTTGTTTGTCTTGGGTTCAAGTGTTATCTTGTATTTCAACACCTTTCGTAAAATTTCTTTATTCCTTTTTCTGTGTTGTCTAATACTACAAAGAGAGTTCATTACGTCGATGATAAATGTAACATTAAAGTTTTAACGCATGGTATCTTGACTTAGTAGCTCACCACACTCAGAGAGTAATATCCCTCCGATACGGTTTGAAGGGATTCAATCGAAACGAGGCTTGCATAATCATATTCAACGAGGTTCATTCATCAAGCCATTCATTGAAACGTTGTAGCGCGTACCTCATGGTATTCTGTCATGTGGGGGCCGACTGATTACATTACGTTTCTCATATTGACACCTTTCCTTCTCATTACACTCTCTGTGCTGATTGCCCTTTTGCTTATATGGTTATTCTTTAAGAACCATGCCAGAAGTATCCAGCGCTTCGTCCTTAAAAACGTGTTCAGCGACATTTTCAAAGAGGAGCAGAAGGCTGATGGTTCCGGAGAGACAGTGTTTCTGTTAAAAGGCATTGATTTAGCGGCCGATAAAGAAACCTTGTCAAAGACTTTAAACGGGTTTTCGTTGTCGCTTGTTATGTTAGCCTATGTTGTGGGGACCATGTTTTGGCAGCTTCTTCTGCTCGAAGTGAGCCATAGCTGCGATGAAAACGACACAACAAGGGTTTGCTTCGAACGCATCGCAGGAAAAGTTGGGCCACACGATTCTGTGAACTGCAGTAGTCCTGCCGTTCAGAATGGGACCATCCCGGTTGTCTGCTACAAACTTGTTGTCGATTTTGGAGTGGCCACAGGTGCAAGCTATGGAGCATTCAAGCTTTTCTTGTTCGCCTTTAATGTGGTCACCAGTGGAATTCTTATGGTTAAAACAACAAGAGTTCTGAAAGGAATACAATGGAGCACAATGATTGTGTTGATACTAGTGAGCGTTTTGATGCTTCTAATAGCTTCAAATGTCATCCATGTAAGTATTGACTTTAAGTCGGACATCTGGGTCTTGAGCATACAGATAATACTAGTTGTGTCATCTACCAGCTTTCTCGTGTTATACCTTCCTTGGAAGGAACTCATCAGACCAAATCCAAATGGAAATAACGACGGAGGAGAGCAGGACATTGCAGAAATTTCACCAATATTGTCTTGAACAAGCTGGTTCACTTTATGCTTGCATAAAAAGTTGTAAATCTGTGGGTCGTTGCATGACAAAAAAAAAAACGTGACGTTATTTTGATGCAACCTCTCGTAAACACCGTAACGTTTGTAAATTGAATGGATACGTTAACGTAAACACAATCTCCCTGTAGATGACGGTCTTTATGTACTGAAGCAGGTATCCGCAACGTTCAAAATAGTCTTCAAGGGAAGCTAGTTTTTTATTGACGAGAACAGTTGTGGGATATAATTTGCTATCGAATGCAAGTCTCAAGACAAAGCGGAATAATATCAGAATGAGCACATTTCCGTGGCATGTATGTTCATGTTTATTCCGTTTGTTTTCATCTATATATTTAGTTTCAAATGTTGTTTCTCGCTTTTTATGGATATGTTAACGAAAATATAATCTCCCTGTAGATGGAGGTTTTTTATTTGCTGAAGCAGGCATTCGCAACATTCAAAATAGCCTTCAAGGGAAGCTAGTTTACAAACAGCTCGTTGACGAGAACAGTTGTGAGATTTAATTAATTTGCTGTTGAATTCAAGTCACATTTCCGTGACATCTACATGTTGATATACTGTACCGTTTGTTTTAATTTATATCTCTGGTTGCAAATGATTAGAATAAAGTGCACTGATTTCATCTGAAACATTTTGCTGAGCACAGTATTATATTTGGTGCGCATTGTACGCAACGTACGGCAATACTAAACATACGCCTCGGTAGGCAAGACTTTTGTAGTAACAATTTTTTCACATGGGAGTGTGCAAGCAAGCATGCAATTACGTCAGTCGCTTCGCCAAATAACCATAACCTGGTTATCAACAATAAATCGCCGTGGCAAATAATGAAAAGCTTACGCATCAGATTTGCCTATATAAAGCGAATGAACTAACAGAGTTTCAATTGTAGAGGCATAAAGATATACACACTTGGAATCTTCAATCACGAGTGCAAATTCAGTATCGAAGAAACCGCGCACCTACCCCTCCCCTTGCCCAACATTAACCCAAACTTGTTATCAGTCAACTGCTGTTGGATTAGGGGGTGGGTAGGTGCACAATTGCTCAGATACCGACATTCATCTAGTTTCTTTTCTCGTCTCATTTCCAATCAATTACAAGTATATAAAAAAACATTAAAATATATCTATTTTCAAAAAGGAAGTCTCTCAACGGAAGGCTTTGTAGCTGAAATACTATGAAAGGGAGAAGGGTCTTCCCGATACCACGCCTTTGTTTTGGTCAGTGTGACAGTTGCGGATTTCGCGTTATTAAGTTGATCTATGGAAATTCTCTCATGATCTTATTTCGAATGAGTAATGATGCAAATTGTGACTTCAAACTCTTAGCTTCGAACAAAAAATGATCACCCTGAGATTCAAGGAATATCAAGTCATTTTGGAAATAGCAAAATATTGTAAGGTTGTAATTACAAACAGCGCGTATACGTCTTCCTCATTTATACTGTCATGTCTGCAATGAAGTAAACAAAAAGAGGCAGCGAGTAGCGCCACAATAATATATAGAAATATGTCAAGTCGATATCGCTGTAATCGCGCAGTCAAAATCAAATATATCCGTATAGGGCAATTACATGCAGTTTTATTTTATTAGACTTGTGTGACCATGCCTGGGGAGCGTGACATGATTTGCAAACGGGAAGCCAACCAATCTCGAGGGTCATTTTGGCAGCTTGTCAACCTAGGCTCGAGATTGGAAGTTGATTTGTCAGAAAATCAACTTCCAGTATATTAAAATTAATAGTTTTTGTTTCAGTCTTTGTGATGGTCGTTCTTCTGACCTCACTTTCTGGTGGACGTGTGGTATTCAAATTCCTACGAAAATTCGCCGCTTTGTTAGACAGCGAAAGATTGAATTAAAAAAGGTTAAGACATCATTATTCGATAGACACGAGGCTTTAAAGGCCGATAGGCTTTCAGACTTCGACGAAGCTGCTTCTCAGGTAAGCTTTGTAACATTTAAAGCACGGTAATTTGCCTGGTTTTTATTGTTCTCGATACATCTTCCCCGTTTGTATTCGGTGTTCCTGAATGAAACCTGCGATTGACGGAAGCTTGTGATGATCAAAAATAACACGCTTAAGTCTCGTTTCAAGTCTTCTCTAAACTGAGGACAATATGGCGGCAGCGATTTGTACAAGAACAAGTGCTAGTGAAATTTGTGAGAACAGTTGATTTAAGGCAACGTTTCCCTCTTAGATAAGATAACAAGAGCTATTGACAATGAAAAAAAAGCATCTACAACATGCTGAGCGATTTCTCTAGCTTTAAAACCTTAAACGGAGTATTAATCCTTTAAGTTTAAAAACGAAATTCGCCCATGTTTTGATCTGTTCCGCGGTTAGTTAAATGAAAGGTCGACGATCCTTAATTGAAATATGTTTCTCGTCTTCCATCCAAAACAAGTTTTGATGGACAAAACTTATCACTATTGTACTGTAAAAATGACGGAAGAAACGCTGATTATATCGCGCTCGAGTTGTATTTTCAAATTGGTGAAAAGTAAGACAGACATAAATACATTCCTTTTGTTTACTTCTTAAAAAGTCACGTGAACTCCACGTGTTGAACTCATTCTCTCCTTTTATTACTTATAACAAGTGCTTTAGGAGGCAATATTAAGTTCAAAAACTTTTCGTATAAAAAATAAAACAGCTTACATAAAACTTGATATTTATTTTCAAAAATAAGCCTTGCTTTAACATGCAATTTAAAGAAAGGAAGTTGTTTTTTTTTGTGACATTTTTCCTCTTAAGACGTTTCAGTTAAAAGTGCTTAAAATTGACTTCAGTCTCTAGGGTTAAATTAATTCATAGAGAAGGTTCCAAGGAATAGTTTCCTTTCTGTTAATAGAAAGTTTAAAAAAAACGTCGGTAACATGTCATAGGAAAGCTCTCGTTATCATTATCATCATAATTTTGCTCTTTCACGGAGTTGCCACTTTTTATTTCGATATAAACGACTAAGGGGTCCTCTGTTTTCTTGGCATTTTCTGTCTCAACCCTAACCCCCGAGATCTGATTGTTAATTCTCCCCTCTAGATGCTACACATTTCTTTGTAAATAAGTTACGAGAATTTGGTGTTAGATCGAGATAACTTTGACCTGATAAGTATGAATATTTTCATGACCTGTCTGCTAGATAATGTTTAGATATTATACGGAGAAGTTAATTGTTAATTACTTCCAGGAGTTAAATGGCTAAATAACGGTAGCTGTCACACCGGTCTCCCCCTAGGTAAGTTTTTTGTTTTTCTTTGCAATAAGAGCTGCTGTGTTTTATAGAGTTTAGTTGTTAGAAATTTGTAATTTTGTCTCGAAGCAAACAATTTTTCGCCGTTCAGGAAAATATTGGAACATTTTGCCTTTTGTAATTTCCAAAAAACCTCACGTAAACTATCACAGACATCATGTGACATCATGTGACTATCACAGACATCATGTGACATCACGTTCGGCAACGGAAGCCGTGCAGTCTATGTAGCTTTTGAGTCTTGCCTTTAAGGGGAGGAAACGCAAGTATTATCGTGCTGACAATAGCTAAGTTCGACAAATGTTCGGTCAGGTTGTAATTCAGCAGAATAAATTCAATATTAAATTTACACGCAGGATGGCGGAGGGAAGCGAAGATTACGATTCAACATCTGATCAGGACTCTGATGACCCTGTGTTTGACTCAAGTGATGGTGAAAGTGGTAGCGACGATGTCACTGAGGACTCAAGTGAAGATGACGATGTTGAGAACCTTTGTAAGAAAATTAAGAAGTTGTTCTCTGTTGTAGTATCATTGGAACGCTAACGATTTTAGAACTGAGTTTGTTTAGTGCCTCAATTATGGGTATTATATACATTCAACTCAATATCTCTTCTATGATTGACCGAAAGCGTACAGTGAATTTTGAAACTGCGCCTGGGACGTCATCTAACTGCAGATTATTCAATAATCATGTCAATGACACCGAAGTTCACGGATAATCATGTCATGTATGACCGCAGTGCATGATTTCTGAGGGTAACTATGCCAAGTTCGCCCGCCGTGTTGCTTGCTGATTTGTATATTTTTACAAGTAAATTATCGTCACCATTTTTTTTTGTTCAATTCGGTTTTTTGTGACGAGGCTTGGGCTGATAACCCATGCCTCGACCTTGATTATTCTGGATATCACAACAGCCTCATACAATGATTGTTCATTTAGAGTGTAGGTAATCGAATGGAGATGCGGCCTATTTCCTTTATCAAATAACTGTTAGTTGAAACATGTCTCGGCTTTCTATCAATATTTCATTAGAATAAAGATAAAGATATAACACAACACAATATACTGAAACCTTTGCACTATTTTCAACATTTTCACCCCTAACAATCCATGTAAACATCATAAAAGTGTACTTCGTTTTTGAAAGCGCGGTTCATCTCAGTTGCAAGGGCCAACTAAAATGTGGTCTCGCCACACATGATGGACTTCTCTACTACAAATAACAATCTAATGGTAATAATGAAATAATACGTTTCGTGCGGTTTCATTCCTTGCACACAAACCTTTTTTTGAAAGTGTCACTTGCGTAGAAATCTAATTTTTTATTATTGATAAAGCTGACAGTGACGACGAAGAAGAAAAATTTCAACTGGAAGATATAGACGAAGAGCAAAGTGACGAGGATGAGGAAGGACAATCTGCTAAAGAGCCAGTGCAGCTGAATGAAGGTAAACAGGCTTGGCTCAAATCATCTTCTCGCTAGCTAACCTTTCCCGCCCCAAACAAGCACATAGAAAATAATGAGGCATATTCTGCGTCCTTCATTAGATGATTGCCCTAGTTTTTGGGAAAATAATCGCTACTCTGCTAATTATAAAGTGATGGAAAAGAAATTAGTTCTATTACAAAGCATTTTTTGAACGATATCACTGGAGAAGCCGTGCTGTGGGACTCTGTACTCAAGTCGACAAGGAGAATAATTAAACTATTGAGATGATTATAAAACATTTAGTTACACCAACCTATCTGATTGACGTAGGTGGAAGACCAGAAGAGCTACCTGGGATAGGCGTTGACAAGAATGAAAAACCTCATAAATTTCCGCCTAACTTCTCCAACGTCATGCGTTTGGTCAGAAAGACTTTTTATGGCCGAGGAGTGAATACCAAGTTAGTATACAGATCGGACTGCGCTTGGTCAGCTTATGTTGCAGAGCGCCCAAATGCCGTGCGGAAGATCCACGGCTCAAGCCCCAGACCGGATCAATACTCAGGGTCTTAAAATAACTGAAGAGAATGTGCTGCCTTTTTAGTCTTTAGACATTTTAGTCTTCACGGATAAGGACGATAAGTCATGAGCTCCGTCTCCTGCATCTTTCCTGGGCTGGTTAGCAGGGGACGTCAGAAAGCCCACTCACTTCTCGCAGAGCGTAGGGAACGTAGCTCCCAGTGTTGTGGTCTGGCCTTGTTATTCTTTATACATTTTAAAGATCCTCATTAGTAGTTTCAAAATAGAAAGAGGTATGACAAGAATGAATGAAGAAGAAGAAAATAGAGAGTGGAAATATAATGCGTGTGAAAATCGTTTAAATAGCGAATAAGTAAATTAATCGATTATGAAATCTTTCTAATTTTGGAACGAGCGTGCACGAGAACGAAAATTTGTTTCCACAAGCAAGAAATACTCACTATTCGTTCTCTATTAAACAGGTTTGTCAACATCCTGACCGACTTTTCAGACGCAAAGATTTTCCTCATTGATGGCGACTCCTTGCTGCTAGAAATTCTTGGTGAGGAAAGCTTGGATTGGAGTAACGGTGGACAATTTCTGCATCTTGCATACTTAACGGAGCGATTTTTGCAAACGTTTACAGAGAAAGGTTAGTGGAAAGACAATTGGACGCTTTAATCACGGCATATGCCAAAAGAATGCACATGGGTTTCCTACACCTCCGCCGTACCGCATCTAGCCGGTGGTCGAAAGGTTTTGGGCCCTCAAAAAATTAAATTCTCAAAAATTCAAAAAACATACTTACAAACCTCAGTCTAGTTCCCTCTTTACCACAGGACAAAAGCAAAAAAGAAAAAAATTATCGCAACTCCTTGGGGTGCAGGATTCCCTGCGTAATTATAAGTCGTATGAGTTTTTCTTCCTTATGTTGGGTTTTCCGATTGGTGGACTTTCCGGCTAGATAAACACACATAACTAATTTATCACTAGGGTGAAAAGTTATTCCACACTTATTCTTCCCCTAGGCGGCGTTTTCCACGTCGTTTTTTTCAAAGACATGGAGATAATCTGGAGAGGTAATCCGTCCATGCTGCTCGCTCGGGAAGCGCTTATTCTTCATCTCCAGCACAACACAGATTTTACCGTAAAAACCTTAATGGTGAATCTTTGGGGACAGAGGTGGAAAGATTACGTTGATGACGAGGTCCCTGCGTTTTTCCTGTTGACGGATGCTGAAAACATTCCTTGCCAGGATGGAAAGCTGAAAAAAACAATGGAATTTTTTTTCCGTTGTCTCTTGTATCATTGTCTCGCACATGGATTAAATTGTGTTTTCATTTCGGGCATCCAGACAACTGCGACAAAAGTGATGGGATTTTACATGGATTCCTCTGCCATTCACAAAAAGTTCTTTACGAAGGTAAGAATTATTCTCTTGGGAGACTAACAAATTAATAATGGAGTAAGTTTCTGAAGAAACTGCGGTGTAGTTTCGGTTGGGTATGTTACACGATAATTTGGTTTTAGCAACTGAGTCGATAATGTGAATTGGCCATCGTACAAAGGATTCTAAGACTGACAATCAAAACGTCAGCTTTTGGTCAATTCACATTACACCACATCAACTTTTTCTGATGAAACTGAATTATGTAAAAAAATGAATGTCTCGAATTTTTGCACTAGAGGTTTAGTTGATCCATGTTTACGTCAGAATAATTCTCAATTCACTGTCAAAAGAAACTCTTTATTCTTCGATTTGCTCTAAACCGCTTCGTGATTGGTCGAGGAAACTCATCTTCCCCAGCTAACTGCCCAGTTTCAAAACAAAATCCAAACTCGACTCGGCCACTCACTTCACCCCCTCACTTCACACCGTTTGCTTCCATCTTGTTTAAAAAGTTCCTGTTGGATCTTTGTTTTCATTTAATTGGGCACGGATTTATCATGCATGTAACACCCAATGCACATGCGTACTAATTTGCTTCAATATAAGATTGAGGCGGTTTCTCCCTCTTTCCTTTATATGTAATCATTATTTTCCCCCAAAAAAATCTTCTCAAAGGGCAATGAGATTTTCAAACTTGCAAATACGTTGATTGTTTTTTTAGCATGAACAGCGACTACGGAGAACGTGGCAATATCTGATGAATTTCAGGCACGACCAGGAATCTAAGAGCTCACCCAGATGGAAGGACGCGTTTCCTCTGGATGATCAGGTGTTTTTACATTTCATGACATTCGATAAATTTGAGGCGCACAGTAAAGGTTTTATGGTGAAATATACATTTGGAAAAAGTCTTACTGCTGAGTGTTCAGTTAATTCGATGCCAAAACATCAAAAACGCAAAATTAATTTTCTCGTGGTCCAAGTAATTCAATTTTTTTATTCCAACTCAAAAGATGGGATCATTCTGCAATCTGTGAAATCTGACCAAATTCTTCGATGCTCTAGTCTTTGAAAACCACTTTTCATTGCGCATATATGAATGTATACAAATGTGGCTATGATTGGGAAACTGCTTTTAGATTCAAACTAAAAATGAAGAATTTCATTAAGAGAAAATATTTGGCCCATACTAATCTCCTGACTTCAATCATACCAAATAAAGGAGGCCGCTTGACCTTGATTTATGTACGGATAAGGTTGTTCTTTAACATTTTCGACTACTGATGATTGACCAGAAGAAGCGGATTTATTTATGTTCTCACTTCATCACTTGGACGTACCTCAGATTGACATAGAAGCAGAAGTTTACAAAGCTCTTCAGCTTCCACCAAAAGGCGGCTGTCGACAGGTTGCCGCAGTCCTTGGGTGTGCACTGATCCTCTTTAAAGCTCTCAAGGACTCTAGAAGCACCAAGGTACGTACGAAAGGGACACATTTAGTGGAATTTGAGAACTTTCTTAACAATGATTTATTCGATTATATTACTCACGGAATGATACGAGGGTTTATCTTCCCACTGCGCTTACAGGAAACGATGAAAACTGTAGAGGACAGAATGAAGCTTTTTTTGCTTCACATTGCAGTACTGAACAAACTGCCGTTGAAGTATAGAGCTCACTTCATAGACGAAAACTTGTTAAATGAATTCTGCAGAACAAAGGACGGTAACGTCTATCCCTTTAACGAGGTTAGTGAGGCTATGTAACAAATTATCGTACAGTGGTCTCCCTCACAATTGACACTGTCCTAATGCAACTTCGAAAATATCGTTTCCTAGACAACCATAGATAAAATGCATTGCAGAGTTTTGCATAGTGACTAGGCTAGGCAAAGACACCATTTATTTTTCCTAATTTCCTTTTCCTAAACAAATAATAAGGAAAATACAGAAGGTGAAGAATTTTCCGAAGAATTCGGCATAAAGGAGGTATTCTATCCCATCTTATGAATAAGCAATGCTCAGTAACTGAATTCACTTTTGAATGTCAGCGATAAGCAAACTTTCGACATCGTCGTCAGACGGAGACTAGCAGTACACCAGACAAAACGTCGAGATCAACACACTAGGCGTTTGATTAGCCTGACTCTTACAACGTGAGGCAAACAATGAAACATTCATTTATATACTTAGCTACTATGAACAACAACATTTTTTATGATATCATACTTCTATTTTCGATTAAGAAATATTTTGCACACATCCAATTTGCAGTTTTGCAATCGAGAGAATTTATGTAAAAAGGAGCTTTGTAACGTTTCTCGGAGCTTTTGGGATATAGGATATATCCTTTTGGGATATAGGATAAAAAAACATACCTTTAGGTGACAGTCGGAAAATTTATCGACAAAGATGTAGAATTTAATATGAATTGTCTGTGCAAAAAATTAACAAAAAGAAAACACTTCAAAATTAGGCTAGATTTCTCAAGATATACGAAACTGTTATGTCAGTGACTAAAAGAAGCGTGGTACGTTTATTATCTGCTAACAGATCCACATGTGTTTATGGGAGATTTTAAAGGCAGTGCAAGTTGTGCAGGAATATGCAAGTAGAAACCAAACAGGCAATGACTTTTTTAAGTCAGTGGCAGATTTAATGGATGGGCGTCTGGTCCATACTCTCTTTTCCGATGCCTTGCAGCAAAGGTCAAAAGGCGTTGAAGGTGGGTTATGAAAATGGTGAGGTCAATGGGGCAATCATTGCGTGTATGGGAAATCCCTGATGGTGACACAGAAATTCTTTGGACGGTTAGGACCGTTCGGGCTTTCATGTTTATTTGTTGTTGGCGTTGTTTTATTTAGCCTGAATTTTTTTTCTTATTTATGTTTCATTTGCTTTTTTATGTTCCGCTTTTTATGGAGAGCCCACGGATACACGGAAGCCTAGTACCTCTTAAATTTGGTATGATTTTACTCTGGTACTAGGACTCAGTCTACCGGAGGATGTCATCAGGGAAGTAGAAGATGCGTGGAAAAAGGCTGTAAATATTGTGAACGAGTCATGTGGTACTCACTCCCTTGAAGCCCAATTTTTTCCCTTTGCTGAAGATGTGTTAGACTTTCATGAAGGAGAAGGTGAGAAATGTCCACCAGCGGGTTCTTATGTGCGAATTATTTTCCTTATTTCTATCTCTTTTTCTTGATTTATATATACGTTTTCTGGGTAAGGGGTTTTGTTTCTTTTCTTTGAGAATGGACCGTGAAGTTTCCATGATTACTGTTCTTTGAATCGTGGAAACATTGTTTTCCTCTTTTTCCTGTTGCACGTGAAATAACTATTTTTGAACTTGTCTCTAAATGGGTATAGTCATAAAAAACTTTCGCAATTTGAAAGGTTTTAAGGTTCTTAAAAGAACTTGAACAAGTCTAAATTGTACTCTATCTGAATTGATCAGGCCAAAACAAGTCAGACATTGGATCATTCAAATATGACAAAGTTAAACGACATACCATGTTGGCCCTGTTCACATCAAAGAAGTTCAATATTGGTGGTTACACCTGCAGACGGCAAAACTTCATTCTTTTAAAAGTGGAACACTTATACTCTTGCTGAGTGGGCGACAGGAACTGAACATATTAAGCGCTTATTTTGTTATGTTACAACAGTTTCAGTGATGCGTTCAGATGCAGACTCTACCATGAAGCTCAGGCGACTTACTGAGGTGCAAAGCGTTCTTGTGAATGATTATGCTGGGGATATTCGATCAGAAATTAATGCCATGGCAGAGTAAGTTGATAAAAAGATAGAGCCTTGTCTTTCGAGTGGTTTTAAGCTGGTTTTATCTTCATTGATGCTTCTGTGTGTCGTTCAGTTGTGTCCATTGATCTTGTGCTTCGTTTGCCAGGTCGTCCTCATTTCAAATGAGTTGAGACTTGGTTTGGAAAGCCGGTAAAAGTCAAAGACTGGAAGAATTAAGCACAGTTGGAGCACTAAGTTATGCACGGTCACCTTTGAAAGATGTCAACATTGAAGCTTCAGAACCTTTCGCTTCAAATTAATAATAACGACTTCGACAAGTTTCCGAGAATTAGGAGTGCATTCCAAAGAGAATACGAGAACTGACGAGTTTACTGGATTGAACTTAATAGAGAAATAAATTGAAAAAAACTTGTAACTCTTGTGTAATTTTAATTTGTAGTTTTGTGGAATTTTTTGCCCGGCTTGTTCATGTTCTGCAGAGAAACAAGTGACGACGATATACCTAATATTGGTCGGGAATTTGATGAACGATACCACTGGCATTCTCTTAGACCACTTTCTGATGATTACGATAGAACGAAGAAATCTATTACAGGTAAAATACCTCCAAGCTTATTGTTGAACCAGAAAAGAACCTGATGATCAATGTCATTACCCGAGCAACTGTGTACCTACCACTTACCCCTCCCCTAACCCAAAAACGTCAACTAAGTAACAAGTTGGGGTTAATGTAGGGTTAGGGGAGAGGTAAGTGCGCAATTGCTTGAATACTGATTTTTAATCCTAAGTATTTCCACTCCAAGGCAGCACTGCCATCTTTATATGATATTGTTAATACTTTTTTATTAAGATAATCCTCCAGACAATCCTTGGCAAAGGAAACGGTATTTTCAAGATAAGCAAAAATATATTCGCTTTCAAAGATTCTACGGTAACTCACTGGTTGGTGGCATTGATCAACAAAAAATCATCACTGTCACAGAGTCAGGGTCGAAAAAGAAAACGGGAAAGAGAAAGGAAAATAAGCAGGTTAGTTTTGTTAAGAAGACTATTATAAAAGTCAATAATCTTAAAATAAAGTCTCTCTAAAGTCTTTTTTTTAAAATCGCTGGAACGTTAGATTCGAATCGAGATATGGGATTTCTTGACTGTTTTGCGTCGATCATTTTCTGGTTTGTTTGTGTTTTTTTTTTGTTTTTCTCTGTTTTTAAGCGTGACTATAATATCTACGCACCCCATTTCACTCTACCCGGGTATGCAAAGAAGCAAATTCACTGGATGTATTACAAACTTTTAGCAGAAAATCCCTTTTAGTCTAAGGAAGGTGTTTCTTTAGCTTGTCTCAAGTAACATTCTCACTCCTAATTTTCAAACAGAGCAAAAACGCTGCAAAAATCATCGAGGAAAGTCTTAAAAAAAGCAGAGGTAAGTTGTATGTGTGCCCGTGAAAAGGGTACACATCCTATATTATCCTTGCATGTCGGCTTCCCACATGCTTATATCATGCATCATACAAAAAACAAATCATGCACCTTTTGATCTGTGGACAAGATAACCGGCCAGGAACTGACGCTCACAAGCCGGGTCATTGAGGAAGAAAGAAACCTGTGCTCTCGCCTGAGATGCTTGTGTAGTAATTGGCAAAACTGATGTATTATACTTGATTTCAATAAACTTAGGATGGTCTTTTATTTTTGGTATTTTTTAAACAGAGAAAGCGGAATTGAAAGATCAAGAGAAGTGGGATGGCATTGTGAGGGACATCGAAACAAATCTGAGGAGAGATAACTTCAGCGATGTTCTGAAATTGATTGATAAATATCTACTAGATTGCAAATCTCCAAAACTTCGTCTTCACGCGCTCATGAAAAAAGTCTATAGTTGCTTTGAAGGCTGGAAGCAGACAAGTACGTTAAAGTAAAACGAAGTGTTTTCATTTTACATAACAATTGCTATGTTGGTAAAGCAGAAAAACAGACCGGCAGTCATGTTGGTTTCCGAAGTCAGTTTTCTAGGATTTGAATCCTTCACAGATAAATTATTTCATTTCATCCAATATATTTACCTTAGCTACTTAAAACGGGAGTGAAAACGCTCTCAGAGAGAAACGGGACGAGATTTTAAAAATAAGATATTAAAGCGTCCATCTTCACCACAAGGATGCTAGAGTTGATGCCGTTTAAAAATTTTCCTTATAGGATCCTCCGATCCAGAATCTAATGACATGAAATATCCTGTCATTTTGATGGAAAGCGTTCATAAAATTGTTCAAGACCTACCAAGTGTTCTTACCGATAGGAACAAGAAGAAACTGGCTAAAATTATGCAAAAGCTGGGATTTGACGACCTCGTGCCCTTGTTTTGTGAAATGCCACCAGATCGTGAGAAAAAGGTAACTATCCCATCCATTCCATATCAAATATTCAACAGAAGCATGAGAATCCTATTTTGTTGAATGTTTTCTTAACCCTTTAACTCTCGGATCAAATTTGTAATTCTCCTTACTGTCAACCATACAATTCCTATAATATTAGGTCAAAGAATTTAGTATTGGATCAACTAATTATCCCTTAATTGATATTTTTCTTCATCACTTGTCTGGTTGATACTGTAATGATATAGTAAGGAGAAATTCTGTCTTGGTCACTCATGGGAGTTAAAGGATTAATACTCTCAGTACATGCCAAAGTCAACGAAAATTGATTTGCCTATAGACTTCACTCTTTCTATGCAAAAAAGCACTTTTCACCTTTTCCAGTTAATGAACATTACTATGTAAACTAAAGAAACTCTAATGATATCAAGCATCTAAGTTCATCCATCTGTTTCACCGCTAATATCTCCTTAAAATGACCTTCTTAACCTTGTTTAATGTAACGAAACTTAAATCTCATAGACAAAAATGTCTATATTCGTGACGGTGATCATGGAGGATTCCAAGTAACAAAATATCCGTCCGACGGAGATGAGCTGCAATGAAAGAAACTGCAGGAAAGAAGCCTTCGAGAATTCAAGCTTTGACGAGACTCGAGTAATAAAAATTATTTCACTCAGTTGTCACTGAGAGTTCTTAAACTGTTACTTACATCTTTTCCAAAGATATCATAAAAGTTAAATAACAATGAGACTGATGAGAACTGTTTAGATAGGGATGAATTACGTTTCAAACGGCTCCCTTGACCTTGTCGAATCTTAAATCTCAAAGACAGCATTATACATTAATTATCATGCGAGATTAAAATTATAAATCATAAAAGTTACTAAGGAATAAATGATCATCGGATATGAGCTGTAATAAAATAAATTACAGGGAAGAAGCCTATGATGGGACATGTGATATGTGAATGAGCATGTAAGGAATGTCATAAAAATTTGCTGACATAGTTCTTAATTTTTGATAATAATGTTAATAGTAGATTTTTTAAAGATATCCCTTTGTCCCAAGATATCGTCAGAGAAAATAGTAATGAAGACTTTTGAGGTAAAGATGTTGAGCACCTCAGAAGTATAAGTCAGAAATGCCTCTTGATCCTAGAATGAACAGCATTTTGTTCACACCACAAGTACAAGATTCCAACTTGAATACATGGGGCATTTGCTGAAACGGGAAGTGAGAACTGATCCGGACTCTCGGGTTGAACATTTTATTCCGGATACATGGCAGGTATGCATGAATATGTATCCATTTCCATACGTAATGAAAAAATGGTAGCTGGGCGTATGTTTTAAACGATAATGGTTCAGTAGAAGTTTGTAGAGTGTCTTTACCAGGGTCCTTTTTGACATTACTTCATAAAGCTTCAGGAAAGGTGCGAAGAGATTTCCTTTTTGGCATTTGTGTAATTTTATGCCGATATGTTTTGTCTATATTTCGAAGCGCCAACTTCTCGATGCCGTCGATAACAATGAATCAGCAGTGATAGTGGCACCAACCTCTTCAGGAAAGACTTACGCCTCGTACTACTGCATGGAGAAAATTCTTAGGAAGGATAATGATAGTGTAGTGGTCTACGTTGCACCAACAAAGGTAAAGTGTCTGTCTATGTCATCTTCTTTCCCTAAATAGTTTCTATATCAGGGCGAGGTTCGAGGAGGAATGAGCCCCATAAACCATATTGTTCAGAATTTTTTTCTGCCATTAAAAGAACATAAAAAAATGCACTGCTCACCAAAATAACCAAACTAAAAATGTGTGGCCACCGTAGTTTAATTTTCAGCACCTTTGAAAACAATTTTCGGAGTTTCAAGACCTGGTCACTGACAGGATGTTGTTTATACCTTTGAATGGAAGAGGAAAACATTATATGATTCCTGAAGCATACTCCTTCTTTATATCCTGCATATGAACTTCCTGTAGAGAACAGCTTCAAAATCCAAATACTACCAAAACCTCGGCCAAATTTGTCTGAAGGAGGTGGTGTTCTAAAGAAACTGTGGTGCCGCGTTGGTGGAGGCTTTTACAAGATAACTTGGTTCATAATGTGAATTGGCCACCATAGAGAGTTTCTGAAGCTGACGTTTCGAGCATTAGCCCTTCTTCGAAAACTTGTTTGCTATGTTCTGGTTGAATAAAATCTACGGTTCATTTAAGTGTATTATATAAAGAGTGTTCCCTTTAGCCCTGATCATTATCAGTCAAAGTTGCAACACGCAAAAAAAAAAAAGGAAAAAAGAAACTGTGAAGCCACCCTTTTGATAAAGAAAACTGTTTATGTTTTTATTTTTTGCACAGCCTGGTCAATTATGTTCTATGTTTCTTTTAGGCTTTGGTCAATCAAGTCGTTGCTACAATTTATGCACGGTTTGAAAAACAGATGCCAGAGGGAAGATCAGTGTTCGGTGTTTTCACGAGAGACTATCGTCACAACACGCTAAATTCTCAGGTTACTGGATCTGAATTTGGAAAATCAGTAACGCTAATATCCGTTTATCTTCCTTTGGATCAACTCATCTTTGTTATACATTCTTTGAAAATATGGAAAAGTATGAGGAATGCCTCAGATCTCATTGGTTTAGTAACTTGCATGTTTTTTGGAAACACTTTCAAAGTTAATCTTATTACAATATGAGATTGTCTGTGTAACTCTTTTCCCGCAGATTCTTGTTACAGTCCCACAGTGTTTGGAGATCCTCTTTATTTCTCCACACAGACAGCATTGGACGAAGAATGTCAAATATGTGATTTTTGATGAGGTAAAAGATCGTCATATCGTTCTTTTGCCAGTCAACCAGTAAAGGTTTGCTGAACGTACATACAATTTATTGTTTAATTTAGAGGACTAGTTTATTGTTCGAGGTAGGACATGCTACTTACTACATGTCTGTTTTCTTTTTAGTTTGTGTTTCCATGAAGTTTTGTGTCATTATCAATTTATCAATTTCCAACCCTCGCCAGTAAGTTAAGAATTTAGTAATGATAACTTTAGACTGAAGTAGATTCTTTCTTGGTTTGCGTAGGTTCACTGTATTGGATCAGAAACTGGAGCTGAAGTCTGGGAGCATCTCCTACTTATGATTCGCTGTCCCTTCCTGGCGCTCTCCGCAACCATTGGAAACCCAGAGGAACTAAGACGGTAAGAGTTTAAGTAGAGATATTAATTTATTCACCGACGACTTTTGATGAACAACTGGAAACACTTTGCTGTGGCCTTCTTATTGATAGCAGAGGTTGAAGAATTCATTTTCTTGTGTACAGCTGGTTGCAAGCTGCTCAAGACTTTCGTGAAAAGCAAGACAAAGAAAATAAAGAAAATCTGAGGAAGTCATATCGCATCAGGTTAGGTAGGAGAGAAATTATTGTATTGGAATGCTATGAAATGTTTCTTGTTGCGTGCTTTTGTACTCTTCTAGAATAAAATGAAGCGAAATGACCTTTAAAATGATCACAAATGCACCACTTCGTACTGGTAAAAAGGTTGAGTTAAAAAAATAAGAACAAAGAAAACGAAAAACATTCCTCCTCCTCCGCGTGAACAAAAAAATTCATGTCGAAAGTGCTTTTCACAGAATTTCTCTCAACGAAGAGCTACTTGCTTCCAATTAATGTTATTAGTGACAAACGTTTCGCCAATATATCACTTTTGTTGAACTCGAGTATATTTATTTCAGAACTTATCGTTACTTCTCTAAATTTTGTTGATTGCTTCTAATTCCTTCGCTTATTTTTAAGTCAAATTTGAAGGACGGTACTCCGATCTAGAAAAGAGCATTTACCTTCCAAATAATTGTGAGAAAGGATACGATGATTACAACAACGAGGCATTCGTGAGGCTTCATCCTTGCGGCCAGCTAGGACACCAACAGGTTAGCGTTTTTAACTATTCCTGAGTACATTCAATATTTTACAAGCGTACTTTTATTGACATAGCACAACAAAAGAGTGCATCTTACCAATGATAATAATCAATAATCGAGAGTTGATTGCTTTTCCCTCAGTCTAAAAATGAAAACACCCTCACTTTGGTATTTTTTTTGATGATGATGTATATAAATCATCAATATATATTTTTTTCTTTTGAAGTTCGTTTGCTCCTTCGCTTTCAATCTAGATTCAAGATTCTTCTTTGGGATCAGATTAGTTTGTATGATAAGCTGAATTATACCCGCAATTTGTTATCAGTTCTTACTTATGGGCAGGACGGACGCATAGATTATGTCGCCATCAACAGAAGTTTGCTTTTTGCTATCATATTAAACAAATAGAATCGACACTGCCGTGGTTCTGTACTGAAATAGATCACAGGAGACGATAAAGCGCGGTAAGAGCTGCAATGACAACTCGGTTGCCCCTCGAGTGCCACTTTTTTTGTTCATACTACATTTTGACGTCATCTGGGATCAATTACATAATAGACGCAACATGGAATCGACGATTTGTCCGAGACATTTAGGAAAATTTATAAGTTAGGTCTTTGGCTAAAAGTCTTACCTGTTCCTTCTTTTACACAGCTTCGCCAAAAAGGTTTACCAGGTGATATGGCACTTACACCAAAAGAATCTCTACAATTATATGACACTATGGTTAGCGTGTGGCCTGACTGTGAATCACTCCAGGTCAGCGGAGTAGTTATTAATATTTCAATCTTGTTGGTAAATTACAGATGAGGAACACTGGATAATGTAAATTAAATTTCTCTTGGCAGAATCTTTCTCCTGAGACATATTTCCTAGAAAATAAATTGATCCAAAAGGGTCATGCTCGGCAATACGAGAGTGACCTGAAGAGGGAATTCAAGTCTTGGGCAGACAGCAGAGAATTGACAAAGGTAAAAAAAATTTATTTGGTTTTCTTTGTTTTGTTAGGTCTAACCATGCTCAAAAAGAAAGGGAAAAATGTGCAACGATGAAACGTAGCACGCACTTTGTAGGATAAAGGCTCTAATTTTTAATGTGTTTTGAATAGAATTATTACTTTTCTTGTCAGGTTCAGTCAGTTATAAATTCTTTAAAGTCAGTTTTCTTGGAAAATCACTCTTTAACTGAAGAACAATGGGGTGAACTGGGAATGACTTTTTCTGGTAAACAGTTCATAAAGAACAATTTTGCAAAACTCATTGACGAGCTCAGAGCCCAGGACAAACTGCCTGCCTTAGTGTTTAGGTAAGTTGGAATTATAAAGGAACAAAGTTACTTAAAAACTCTGAATTGTAATTGCTCATAATTTCTCCATTCATTTCTTCTTAATTAGGAAGTTAGTAAGGGGACGTAATGTGCAACATAATGTTAAATACAGATGTGCGGAGTGAAAGACAGCTTAATAGGAAATTAGTATTCTTATCTGATATGTTCTTCACATGGCCATGTCAAACATTTTTCATAGATATTTAACTAGAGATACAATCGATTTCTTTTTTTAATTTGGAAAAGGATAAAAACTGCGAGTAAAAGTATTAGTTTGTATAGGTAATCACATGAGGCCAAGTATTATTAAGGATTAATTGCACGAGAGTTTTTAAAATTTTCCAAAATTGCCCGAGTCGCGAAGCGACGAGGGCAATTTGGAAAATTTTGAAAACTCAAGTGCAATTAATCCTTAATAGTACGAGGTCTCATGGGATTACTTGTTTATCAATAAAGGGCAAAATTTATACGAAGGAAAATCACGTGCGCAGTCTATTTTTATCTGGGAAGCAACGGATTAGCAATGCAACGGATTAGCCAATCATTAACAGGTAATCATGCCCTCTCTTGATTACTAAAAATGCCCTCGATTAAGAAAAAATGCCCTCTCCCTCAACCAATCAGCGCTCAGTAATTTTGCCCTTTATCGATAAACAGGATTGCCCAGAGTAGACGTGTCAATTGAATGACAGAGGCCTAATCTCCAGTAATTGAAATTGCAGGCAAAAGGTTAGTTAACTATGTAAGAAAAGGTCATGGTTATTCATACGGTAATCGAAATGTTCATGTTGAGCACTCTCTTTGGTTTTCCTACGTAGCAATGATCGTAAACTCTGCGAAGAGCTGGCAATCGGTTATGCTCAGAAACTAGAAAGCAAGGAACAAATTATCAGGAGAAAAGGCAACACAAAAGAGGCAAAACTTGCACAGAAGAGGCAAGGAAAAGCTGAAAAAAGTTTGCACAGAAAAAGAGATGAAATGCAGAAAGAAAAAGAGAAAAGGTAGTCAGTTCAGTAATTTGGTCATTCTGAAATGACTTATGACAGTAAAACTACAGTAGAACCTCTGTGACACACCATTTTCCATTTAGTAAATTTCCTGTCCATTCTTTTGCTTAACCTATGTCGAACTGTTCTGTTTCCGAACTGTCTTTCTAGATATGAAAGTTCTGTTGTATATGATGAATTACTGCTTGTCTATGTTTCTTGTGGTTGTTTGCTTTTTTGTTGTCGTTTGTTTGCTGTGCTTTTATACTAAAAGGTATCACTGCTCTCCACAAGATCAAAAAGCCAACCAGATAAGCAAGATGAGAGGGGTTCTCTTTCAGCCTTGAACGAGGTTCTACCGCAGTGCACATTGGCATTAAATACTGGGATTGGAAAAGAGGTAGGAAGTATAAACAAATGCTGTTTCAATAATGAAAATAATAAGTCTTCTGCGACTTCGTTTCTTTTCACCCAGTATATCAGTTTTTGAGTTTATTTAGGTTGCAAACGTAGAGCCGTTTTACTTTTTTTCTGAACAATGGAGCAACTGCTCATCCGAATTATACAATATTGACAGCAGCCAAGAGAAGATATTCTCTTGCAGGAGCTTAATGGTAATGAACACAATTGAAAGATTTATTCTGATGCACTTATTAAAAGAAAAAAGAAACAAGAATTGACCGCATTAATTCATTTTCAGGATTACGACGAGATAATGAAGAGAATCAGGTTCATCTCTGAAAAATCGTTATTCAAGCGGGCTCTAAAACGAGGAATCGGCTTTCATCATAGTGGATGTAGCGCTAATAAACGCTCTGTGGTGGAAATGTTATTCAGAGGCAAATACCTTCAGGTTAGATTTCATTATCGGTATGTAAAATATCAAAAAAGGCACATGTTTCACATTCGTGGACTCACAAAAAGTCCTTGACTTTCAACATTTTTACCTAATAATAATTCAAAGTGAAGATTTAGGCCATAAGACTAAGGCATCATTATTAAAGAGGTGTTTTCCCTGGATCCGCTGATGATACCGCCTCAGGATTTGATTAACTAGTTTTGTAGGAAATGCATATTAAATAGTGACCATGCTTTTAGTCACAAAGTTTGAAATCTGACGCTTCGCCTTACAATACTCATTTAACTTGTTAGGTGGTCAATGCAACGTCCACGTTGGCTCTCGGCATCCATATGCCTTGTAAGTCAGTGGTGTTTGCCGGAGACTCGTCCTACTTAAATTCGCTGCAGTACCGACAGGTAAATGGGAGATATAACCTCACTAATCATCAGCTTTCTGATAAAGCGTTGTGGTGGTGGATAACAATTATTCATGTGACATATCTCTTTCCATTCAAGGATAACATGACACAGAGGTTTACTTGTTATTTTCAGATGTCTGGTAGGGCGGGTCGGAGAGGTTTTGACCCCATGGGAAATGTCATTTTCTTTGGAATTCCTTACCATAAAGTCCAGCGCCTCATGACTGCAAATATCCCAAAGCTTGTTGGCAACTTCCCCATCACTGTTTCACTGGTTCTGCGGCTGCTTCTGATGACGACCCAAGCAGATGACAAGAAAGACGCCCTCACTAAGGTTTGGAAGAATATATCAAGAATGTATTCTTAATTCATAGTTTCCTTTTTATGCAATAGATTAGATACCTTCAGGCAGTAGGTGTGCCTCTTTTGCTCGACTGACGCTTATAAATTGAAATGAAGACTACATAATTCACACTTACGACATGTATTTACAATGTAAAGAGTTAGTTTCCATATGTTACATTTTTGCGAGCAATCTAAGCCACCATAGATTGAATATACTCGTGTATATTTTTTCAGGTGAAAAAAGGGGGTGTGTTTCTATAGATAATGTGCTGCCGCGTCGGTGGCAGACTACATAATAACAAAAGCGAATGACGAAGGGCTAACGTTTGAACCGTCAGCTTTGAAACTCTTTATGGTAACCAATCTACGTTATCAACTCATTCGATAAATAAAACTACTAAATTACCCTGATTTTTCAGGCCCTAGCATTACTGTCTCATCCTTTTATCTGCCAAAAATACCCTCAACTGGAAATCCAGATCAAGTTACATTTCCTCTTCAGCGTTGAACTTCTGGTTAGATTGGTGAGTGGAATGGCCAAAAGTTTTCATCTCTTAAGTTGACACATTTTTCTTGGCCGTGCCGTAATAACCTTTCTGCATATTTAGTGAGGTGTGGTATCTTAGATGAGGAAGAAATGGCTGTGTAGGATTTAGTGACATATAACCGTCTGATAAAGAAAATTTCAGAGCCAATCGAAAGCCTGCGCAAAGACATTTGTGGCTAAAGTCTTTGATTACTCGTTTAATTCCAGTCTCTTATAAACAAAGAAACCGGAGCTCCACAGGAAATGGCCGGACTGGCAACCCATCTTCATTACCATGAACCGTCCAACTTTGTCCTAATCAGCTTTCTACGAAGTGGTCTCTTCCACAAGCTTTGTCAGCCAAGGACAAAGGGTGAGCCGACCTAAAGTTTTTGATAGCTCCTTTTAAGCACAGTGATTGATTCGATTATATTAGGGCACGTTTTAAGAGCCTTTTGTGAACATCCCACTTTTAAAACCCGCACAGGGGAAAACGATTCCTTGAAATATGATTGTGTGTGATAGCATCATCAAAGAGACGGTATATATCTCTAACTTGAAAAATCGAAGGTTTTAGTTTGTATGAAGTGACTAGGAGTATTTCTACGCTCGCATGGATGGAATTTCAATCCTTGGCAGGTTATTTGCAGTTTTCCTAACAGTTCATAACTCAATACTCTACTCTCGTAAGGAGAGAGACAATTTTAGTGTATCAGTTACCCAAAAATACAACACAATGACCAAGTCAGGATCAGCCGGTTTTCCAGCCCAGACCTCTTGACACAAAGTCTAGTACGTTAACTGTTAGCCTAATGCGTCTCAGATTTATCACTGAGGAGTTTTTGCTCTTCATTGCTATCGTTGGCGTAGTGCCCTTTAGCGAACTTTTCACCCGTTCATTGCATTTCACTTTACGTTGATTTTCCTTTTTCTCACTTTGAAAGGTAAATTTTCTGTCGACATTATGCGAAAAATGGTACTTGTTCTCAGCCACTTATTTGGAAGGACTTATGTTCACCCCTCTTTGATGCTTAGGGATCGATCTTCATCAAAAGTAAGTGACTATTTATTGTTTATACCCAGGGGGGAAGTGGAGGGTTTTGAGGGGGACCATCAACAGAGCATAAAGGGAAGACAACATGCAATTTATTACCAACTAACAACTAATGTGGGGAGATCAAAATAACATCATCACAGAGTCTTATGGGAGGGGGGGACTAAGTAAATTCTAAGGTGACACTAAAAAAAAACCCCAACCGTCTCCCCTCTCCCATAAAAGAAGACGATTAATAATGACTGATTCCTCAGTATTTCCTTCCCTCGGAGGATCTATTGGTCTACCTTTCAATTTAGTTTGTTATAAATCGAAGACTGCGCAATGGCTCATCTTGAAAACGAGCCTATTCTTGGTGAATTATCATAAAGTTAGTCTTTTTCAGAAAGAGAAAATGGCTCTTAATTATGTTTTCTAAAAAGTTTTACATGAATTTAGGCGTGGGTCACATGCACGAATTACAATACATTCGCAAAAAATCATTTAAAAAAAACCATTTGCTTTTTCTCTTACTCGTCAAAAGAGATGTGCAGCGAGTTACTGTAACTGTTAAGCTTCTTCGGTGTATAAATCATGGACACTTTTGCATTTTGGACTTTATGCAGTTGATTTTGGAGGATCTCCCGGATGAATTTGCCAAAGTAGTCGAAAGCTACAATCGTAAGGTCACCGATATCTTTAGTCAGTACCCTGCCACAGTGGCTAAGTGGTTGGGAGAGGGAAGAGGAGAGAATCACAAGCTCCCCTTATCAGGAATAGGTAAGAAATATTTAATGCACATTTTAGTTCGCATAATTTTACATTTTCTTGAACCGGAATATATTTTCAGAGAATACGTCATCCGGTAAAGAGATTCCATGCTGCTGTGCGTCTGTCTGTTCAGCAATAAATCACAGTTGACGTCAAAGCGTGGTAAGTACACAAAATGGCACAAGAGGCGCAGGCCAGTCTGACCGTGACTAATGTTATCAACACATTTTGACGCCATCTGTGATCTGTTACTGAAAATATGCACGGTAACCTGGAGTCTATTTCTTTTAGCAATCTTTTAGTTTGTCCTCCAATAGATCATATGTAAGAAATAATGAAAATGAGCATATCATTCAGTTTATCATATAGATTTAAATTATGGAGAACGCGTAGATTGCTGTATTCATATAATAAAAATTTCTGCCGCAGAATTTCCAAATAAAGCCAGCATCGATGGCATTGTCGAGCACGATATGATAAAAGTCCTTGCAAACACTTCCATCAAGCCTTTGGCTTGTTCCTACTTCGCTGCGCTGTCAGGGAATACAGACTCACAGTTACATCATACCAGCCAAATACCAGGCGATCGGAGTGAAGATGAAGTTGATAGCGACGAGGAAGAGTGGGAGGAGGAGCCACTAAGAGATATGCAGAAGGTGGAAATTACACTGTTTTAGTTTCGCAGTTTCCTTTTACGGCTTTTGATATTTTTTCTCAGCAGACCATTTCAGACAAAATGACTCTCTAAAATCTAGACTAGCCTTATTTGGGATTTTGGGTTCAAGAAATATAAATCTATAATTCTTTTAAATTAAAAAATTTATTCCATGGGTTTGTCCAATAATAGATCAAATGTAAAGTCAAAATGTGGTATAAGATTAAAAAAGTGGTACATTAGGCGCGGCCAAGTGATTCGCTGATGCTCTTACCACATTTTGACATAATCTGTGATTTCTTGCTGAACAAACCCATGACAACAAGGAATCTATTTGTTTCATATGATAAAAAAATGTTATTAATGGTCATCTATACTCATCCGATAGATCATAAGTAACAACCAATCAAAATGTGTGTAAAATACAGTTTATGATATAAATTTTCGTTGATACCGAAGTGGGCGTCAATATTTTTTTTTCCTATTTGTCTAGATCGTTCGTCAAGATATCTACACGGACATGAATCTCGTTCCCATTCTTCGACTCAGGAATAGGCTACCCCTGAATGCCTATGCATTGGATTTTTTTAAGCACGGATCCGCTAAAGTTATTGAGAAAGAAAATGGGTAAGTAAGTAAGTGTGCTAGAAAATAATTTCATTACTGACTTGAATATTGCTTTTTTTTTATTTGGACCGTTCTTTGTCATGTAATTAATGCATTTTTATCGCTTAATCGATAAATCGTCCACCTGCTAAATTTTTAGAATACGTCAAAAGAAAAATCACTTTTCTTTAAGGCGCTCAACTCCTGCTTTTTATTTCATTTCCAGTTCTCTTTGATATTTTGAAACATTCGCTTTGATTTTGACCATGTGCTCTGATTTCACAGCATGCTGGCTGGCGATGTTTACAATGCCATAAAGGAGTTTTACCTTACCATTAAGTCAATCAGGTAATTCTTCCTAATTTCCAAAGAATACGCTGAGTTCAAGGTGATAGTATAGCGATAGAGCACCGCCTAAAGTTCAAATGTCAGACATATTCTACAATTGAATTTTTCTCGTCAAAGTTTGTTGAGATATCTTTTTCACCTGAGAAACATGGCTAAAAGACATTTTTTCTAGTGATTACCATGGTAACCATCTTTATATTATTTTTCCTCTTAAATGCAAGAACTACACCCAGCAGATTTGTCTCCGCGATTGACAAAAATGCAGCACTTGTATAATTTTTAATATGCACTATTTAATGACACTTCATAATCATTGTTGATCGATTAGGTTACAATGAAGTAACTTGCTTTCTCGTTTTATAGTTGTTCACTGGAAGAGCTGGGTCCTAAAACTGACAATGTGGTACTGGCTTTTAAACAGCTGGCTCAGGAGTACGGAGAGAAATTCAGAGACCAGTTTGAACATGAGGCATAGGAAATACAAATTTGAGTTTAGTTATTAATTTATTAATATCAAGTTTTCTAGACTTGTCGAATTTAAAAGATTAGTGTTTGCTGAAAATGTTTTGGAATGACACGGGTAGCACTTGTTTTCCTAGAGAATACTAAATAGATTAACATATTGTGTCGGTATACAAATTTTTTTTTTTTTTTTTTTAACAAATCCGTGTCCTATTGATCAATTTCAAATGAGTGTCACTTAAATTATTCAATTTTTGAAACGAGAGCGTTTATCCTAAGACTAGTTCAAAGACTGTTGCTTGAAGTATTCAAAGGCTTCTGTAATCTAATTAAATTACTGATAAACTTAAAGGTATAGATAGAGAAGTCAACATGGTTAAACAGATTTCTACACTAAAATGGAAGGACCGTGATAAAACTGAACCAAATATATGTACTGTAACACAAAAAAAAAAAGTAGTTTACGTTAAGAAGTTGTAACGAGTGCAAATTAAATAAAACTGTTCGTATCAGATAAGGTTTGTTAGGTGCCTCCTAACTACTTCATTAAAGTTTAGAGGTTCAATCAAAGTCCGTTTTACTGAATTTTTAAACGCTAGTTAAGCGAAATCTTTGCAAGAGGGATTTTATGACCAACCTTAGTGGGAATTGTGTATGACAGCATATAAAGGCAACTGCAAGTGCGATATAGTGTTCATATGAGATTTTCAGTATTTTGGCAATAATTCCAGCTTGTAGGGGAGGAAGTTGCGGCTGGCGGCCATCAAGTTGCAAGCCTTGTCTCCCTTTCTTTGTCTCCTTTTGTTGTTTCGTACACTTCTTGACGTTGTTATTCGTTTCGTTGTTACTGACCTGACTTTACTTTTCCGTGATCGAAGTTAAACAAAAGGAAGTCGTCACCGCGAGCAGTGAACGTTATTCGTGCAAAACTTTGAAAGCTTTTAGAACGAACGATATCGTTTCAGTGAAAAAAGGTAAATTTACGCCTTAAGGTGGGCAAAGACTTGAACGGCTTGATGCTGCTTGAGAAAATCATCATGCACCGCAAAGCTGAGGTCGTTTTAAGTTGAGGGAATGGACTTAAAACAGCAATCTATGATCGGGATCGGGGTTGGCCGGTATAAGCCGTGGGAATTATGGGATTGAGATAAAATATGAGTCAGAATCGTGGGAATAAATAACTTTATTGGGGACCCTCCTTAAGGCCTTTTTATGATCTTTTGCGACATCGAAAATTTCAAAAGTTGACAAGCTCACTCCTTGTAACACACTACATGCAGCAAGAAGTCGGTTGTATTCCTAAATTGTGATATATTAGGGATTTGGAAAGTATTTAATTTTGATATGTGTTTATTCAAAGGTTCACCATAATTTCTCAAACTCAAAATTTTGGTGATTTTGGAAGCGTGACAGGAGAATTATCCAAATTAGTCTGTTGAGCAACCTCCGACCGTTTATATTGGTAGCTTCATAAATCTTAGATTTTATCCATTTTAAAAAGAAAATATAGTAGGAAAGAGCCTTTAGAACAAACTGATTGATATTTTAATCAGCCGTTTAACATTTTAGACTACGAGCAGCCCTCCTTTTCGGCGAAGCATGCCTATGTTTTATTTGTGTATTAGAGAGGTTTTCAAATGGCTGATGTACGTGTTTAAGCGCGTTGGCTGAGTATCATTTAGCATCAATATTCAGGATTTTAAAGGGATCTTTCTAATAGCTTAAGTCTTACACTTCTGCTCATGATCTACGACCGCTTGGAATGACGCTTTACCATCTCTTAGCGCAATGACACTGCACACTAGCTGGCATACTTCTCCAGCTTTTTGAACAAACTCAGGAAAGGGGCATTTTTCCCATCAGTCTACTTTGGATTGGATCGCTGCGCTCACTCGTGAACTATCGAGTTAAACACTCGAAGAGAAACTCGTTATCTACGCGTGCCCATGTATTATGCTTTATTTATGACTCATTTTCCTGGGAAAGTACACAATGTATTACATCATCAACTTGTGGTTTTTCTAAGAATGTCACGCATTAGTAAAAACAACAGATCTATTATAGTTTTCCGTTACATGTTTAACATCAACGTCACTCCGTTATTGCAACATCATTATATATGATCAAATATGAAAACATGATGCAGCCGCTCTGCGGTGCCTATATCACCGCCCGAGATCTGACACCATTATTTGACGCCAGGAGGCGTACGCTCTCTAATTGAGTGTCATCATGGTCGTGAATCCAGTAGTGAGTCATTTGCATCCTGTCGCGGTCAAGTGAGCATCTTTAGTGGCAGCGTGAAATATTCAACACTCGCCATCCCCCGCGTTGCTTCTGCACTGCCGCGAGCTAAATTTAAGAAAAATTAAATTGATTGCGGTTGATTGCGGTTAGCGATCGAAAACTAAAATTAAAAAGTCAAATACTTCTATGTCCTGAGACCACAAGAAAAAGAGTTCCCTCTCGCTAATGTGACTCATCGAGTTACAGTTCAGTTCCGCCACCACGGTCTGAGCGAGAGGTCTTTTGTTCTCACCATCCTCTGCTCGAAGCTTAGCTTCTGCGCTGCCGTATGACTTCACGCACTCTATCACAAAAATGCTATCAGAAAGCTTCACGTCATGATGTAAAAATATAATTACCATCGTCTGGAAAGTAGTATACAGAAGTAGAAGTTGTTGTGTCGTTATTATTTTGCCAAGCGTAGCTGGCCCCTACTCTTCTTTTGAAACAATGTAGGTTTAATTTAGTCAACAGCGCAATTGAATATTTACCAGCCCACCACTGGAAAATGAAAATAAGCTGAAATCC